CTTAACCAACTGAGCCACCCAGGCGCCCTAGGCATTTTATGTCAGCTGTTACTAGAACAGTTTGGAGAACCACCTTTTGGAGTGGGCTGGTAGGATTCTGTACTTGCCCCGGGACTATGCAACTTTTATCTTTCTAAAAGTTGGCCGGTGCCCGCAGCTCACCGTAGTCTAAAGTTATGGGGAAGTATTAGCTCAGAAAAGCTCTTATTTTATATCCTTTGTTTTAAATTAATGTTTGAATTTTGGAAAGTTATGAAAATTGGGTATTTTTTGTTGTAACACGCGTATACATTCCCATTTCCCCCACTGGCCAAAACCAATGGAAATTAAGAAGTTTTGGAATCAGAACCTTTTTGCTTGACAGGATGTTCTACTTGGGTGTTAACATGGCAGTGGTGGGAACCGTGCGTTTTCTGTAACGGGACGTTATCAAGTTCTGTACGTCTGGAAGTCTGCTGGCATTTTTGCAGTATTTTTGCTTAAGCATTATTTGCTTTTAGTAGCTGTGGCTTGTGCCTTTTATCCTCAAGAGAAAATGTAAAGATAATTTAAAAATGTGTGCCCTATGTTTAAAATGACATAAAACACTAAAAATCCTTGTGTTCTGGGTGTGGTTAAGAAGGTAAGACTGACATATTTGCCCTGTATTGATAGGTGCTTTTAAAACTGAAATTATAAAGAGAGTCCAGGGAATGGAGGGCCCCTGAGATGCCTCACGGCGGTGTAGGGTGAGGTCGGGAGCTTTGGCTTCCCACCAGACTTGAATTGTGCCTTTGCCACTTTCTAATGGAATTCACACAAAGCGCCACGTTCCTAATTGTCACCGGCCTGTCGTCACCCAGCTAGGTTGTTACTAATCAAGAGATGACGTGTGTGAGGAGCTGTGTGTGCGCCTCCTGCCAGAGATGGCAGGCAGATGGCCCGGGTCAGGCGGGAGGCCTCAGGACAAGGCTCAGCATCAAGCCCTACAGAAAACTGCTTTTTTTTTTTTTTTTTAATTTTATTTTTAAAAGACTTTATTTATTTATTTGTCAGAGAACACAAGCAGGGGGAGCGGCAGGCAGAGGGAGAAGCAGGCTCCCCACTGAGCGGGGAGCTCAATGCGGGGCTCGATCCCAGGACCCTGGGATCATGACCTGAGCCAAAGGCAGACGCCCAACCAACTGAGCCACCCAGGCGTCCCAGGAAAATTGCTTTTAAAGAGCGCATTTGGTGATGCCTACCAATAAAGTTTGTGAAACAAAGAAGGACTTTTTCCTTCTTTTATTAGTGTATGCCTTTCATGCGTCAAAATTGGTGTGAAAGCAATGAATGTTGACTAGATAAAATGACAATTTCATCAGTGATTGTTAAAATATAAATGTGAAAATAGCCAAATGATTACTACCTCCCCGATAAAACTGGCCAGGGATTACGTGAAAACTGAAAACAAAGCCCTTTGTTGTTCAGTGTTTTGCTTTTACAGAGGCTTCACAAAAGTTACTTATCACCCTCATCTACAGGTTGCTTTTGGAAATAGATACTGGGTGGTTCCTTCTCACCTCCCTCTTCTTCCAGTTCTTCTGTCTTCCGCGTGAACACATGGCCCAGTAGAGCTACATTGCTGCAACTTCCCACTGGCCTACACTTTTTTCTTAAGAATGTCAGCATTAAATTCATAATTACTAGCACAGATTTTAATTTTTTTAAAGAATATATTTTGAAGAGCTTTTCTTCCACTTTGTGAAGTACTGAGTTTTCTAAAATTGGAGGACATACAGATTTTGTGCATTTCAGCATCGAGTTAAGATACATTTTCAAGCAAACAGGCTTCATATATGTGTATATACTGTTTGTGCAAATCAAATTTACGTTTTCTGATGTTATGAAACCAGCTTTGTTAGTACCCATGATTCTGGCTTTCATGTTGGAAGGAGAATGGAGGATTAAGGCAGATTAGAGTGTTGGGATAATGTTTGACTCCTTGTGTTCTGTGCGCTCACACAATAAAAGTCCTCCAAATCTGGACATTACTATGGTGAGATGAGCAAAAGCTTGAGTTTGCGATTGGTGCAGAGCTTAGTACGGCACCTGGTGGAGTAATAGACGAATCCGTTGCCTTCCGAATCAGTAACGCGTGCCCTTGCTGACGTCCCCTGGGCGTGTGAGGTGTCTGGTGAGGCAGAGACACCACTGCCCGCAAAGATTCGACCCAGATAATCGGTGTCCGGGGAAAACATCTGTCTCCTCTCACCATGCTCCTGATAGGCATGGGTTACACCCGAGAGGCAGGAGAATCTGCAGAGAAGAGCGCCATTGTGGCCTTTCATAGGAATAAAAGCAGCTTTATTACAGCTCCCATATACTGAATCAGTCTTGTGTTACAGCACCATGTGAGGTGTGTTACTACTCTGTCCTTGATGCATTTAAATGGCCGTCATTTCCATACCGTTGCTTCCAGGTACTCTGTGAATTTGTGGTTTTTTTTTTTTTTTTTAAGATTCTATTTATTTATTTTTGCGAGAGCGAGCTAGCACATGAGAGGAGCGGGGAGGGGCAGAGGGAGAAGCAGGCTCCCCGCTGAGCAGGGATCCCGATGCGGGGCAAGACCTGAGCTGAAGGCAGACGCTTAACTGACTGAGCCACCCGGGTGCCCTGAATTTGTGATCTTAAGTAGAGCACATGGGCCCTCGACTGAGATGCCCACTACTTTCAAACAGGGATGGTCTCTCACTGATGTTTGGAAGAAGAACTCTGACCTTTGTGAGATTAAAGACATGACTGTTTTTTATGGTAACGGCACATATTTGACATTCGGAAGTCTGGAAGCACATATTTGGCTTCTATCTTGGTCCCAGGAGTGGTCGTCTTTGATGACTACGGAGTTATTTCCACATATTAAATGTAACAAGTATTTAAATGAGGGTGCCTTACATTGATGATGCTTCTCTTTTAATTTTAATATTAAAACTTGGGAGGTAGAGAGTATGTTGTTTTTAATGAGGGTAGGGATAGTGGTTATAGATATTTTTCTCCTGGGAGGAAGTGATGTATGAGGTTTTTATTAAGAATTGCTATTTGTGGAGTGTATGTATGAAGGGGGGGAATGGGAAGAAGGATCTCAGGAATTTTCCTTATATTTTCTTTTCTTTTGTTCATTTCTAGTCTTTATAACCTGGCTTCCCTGGAACTGAGAGAGAATCTTCTTACATACCTTCCTGAGTGAGTCTCTGGGCAAAATAAGAGGGGATTTTGTACTACATGAATTTCTTCAAGTATTAAAAAAAAAAAAAAAGTACTACAGTACTTTGTCAAAAAGAGATTCTGTGTCTTTTGGAAAGTTTGGGAGATGCCAGCCTTCCATTAATAGTTTTTCCTTGGTAATATTTACAGCCATGCAGTCCAAATGAGTCTTAGTTTTGGAAATGAGTCCGAGTGAGGAATACCATATTGCTCAGCATTTCTAAGTACTCTCTAAGGGTTCCTTCTTCTTCTTTTTTTTTTTTTTAATAGCTCTCTTACCCAGCTGCGGAGACTAGAAGAACTTGATTTAGGAAACAATGAGATATATAATTTGGTAAGTCTGTATTGAAGAGAGATTTAGACTTAATTTTGCCCTTAGGTGTGATCAAAACATACTTTAGGGGAGTTCTTTAGGGATGTATTCTCACAGATACAGCTTGGCAACATTAGAGAATGTGCTTCAGTTCACACAGGTTGAGAATTACGATGTAGGGGTGGGGAGGGTCAGGACTCGAGATGAGGGGCAGAAATGGAAACCACCGGCATTATTGGAGAGTTTTGGGAGTGCTTTTAGGATGGGGGACTTGTATTGGAGAAGTCCCAACAAACATCCTCTATAGTACCCATTTATTAACTGTTGAATTGGGATTCTTTCTTAGTGGAAGACTAAACGTTGGATCTTTGTTACCATAACATTATTTTTTGTTTGTTTGTTTTAGCCAGAATCAATTGGAGCTCTCTTACATCTAAAGGATCTCTGGTTGGATGGAAATCAGCTGTCAGAATTACCTCAGGTAGGTGGTGATTTCACATTGTTTCCCCCAAATTATAAAACAACCACAGACACCACTCATGTATTCCCCGCTTCTGCGTGAAATTTTCTATAAGGGGGATCTTGAAAACCAAAAACATTGGTTGAAAAAGCACATTTGATAAAATATTAAGCATTCATCATACTACATTGCCATAGAAAAATTGAAAGCCTCAACCCACCATTTCTAAAGATAGCAAATACATCCTTTAGTTTGTGAAGTCTGTATTTTATTTCATCCATGCTCCCCACGTGGCTTACTTCAAGCCCAGCAAATTTGTAAATTGCCAGGACCCCTGATTCTTAGATGGTATCCATTTCTGCCACTCTTTGTGATGTGTCAAGTACTTTTGGAAGATTGTAACCACATTCTGTTCCGTAATAGGTGATGTCAAAGAAATGTTAAAAGCTTTTATTTCAAAATTTTTGCAAATACTGCGTATGGTTTAGCTGTTTTGTCATGGTGTTCAGGTTTTTCCGACTATTACCAAATGTGAGAACCGTGTTCCAAATGAATTGGAGTCTGCATACACTCCTATGTACATAATCATCTTATGGAGCCCTAGTAAGCAGGCTTGCCTTCTACTTAGGTGAGAGAGAGACAGAAGCCAACAAACCCAACAGTAAAAAACAAGCATTTTGGGGCGCCTGGGTGGCTCAGTCGGTTAAGCGACTGCCTTCGGCTCAGGTCCTGATCCTGGGGTCCCGGGATCGAGTCCCTCATTGGGCTCCCTGCTCAGCAGGGAGTCTGCTTCTCCCTCTGACCCTCCTCCCTCCCATGCTCTCTGTCTCTTATTCTCTCTCTCGCAAATAAATAAAATCTTAAAAAAAAAAAATCGGGCGCCTGGGTGGCTCAGTCAGTTAAGCGACTGCCTTCGGCTCAGGTCGTGATCCTGGAGTCCCGGGATCGAGTCCCGGGATCGAGTCCCGCATCGGGCTCCCTGCTCGGCAGGGAGTCTGCTTCTCCCTCTGACCCTCCTCCCTCCCATGCTCTCTGTCTCTCATT